TAGATTAAAAACCATATCTATGTAATGAACATGAATCAAATTAGGTTGTGGACTRATGTTTRYTSTTTTATCAGAAAATGGCAAACGGACAATTTGCAAAGCTTCTTGACGACAACAAGCTTAAGGGCCCGAACTATGCCGATTGGTACCATAACCTCATGTTGGTCTTAACGTCTAAAAAATTGGATATGGTAGTTAAAAATCCTACCGCGGAACGTCCGAGTGATAGGGCTTATGAGGCCAGAATGAGAGAATTCCAAGATTGGGAGGACAAAAACTCCCTAGCCCGCTTGTCATTGCCTCACTGAACAACCCAATATAGAGGCAGTTCAATCAAATCAAACTTGACAAGGACATATTGGATAGTCTAAAGACAATGTATGAGGAGCAGAATCGTTCTACTCAGCAGAAGGTCTTGAAACAGCTCATGACCGCGCAGATGTCCAAGGGGCAATAGGTTCACGACCATTGTCTTCGGATAATGGGTTATATCAATGAACTTGAAGCCCTTGGATCCGGGCTAGATCTTGGCACGCAAGTGGATGCCATCCTTAATTCTCTGCCTCCTTCCTTCAATCCGTCCATAATGAATTACAATATGAACAAGCTGAATGTCAGCGTCTAGGAACTCAGCAACATGTTGCAGAGGGCCGAGGATTTGATTACGAAGGATGAGCCTGTGACTATGCTTGCTGAAGATAGCAAATCAGGCAAGAAAAAGAGGAAGGCAAAGAAGCCTTAGAAGAAAGCTGCCAAACCCAAGAAGCAGAAGAAAGACAGGGCATCCAATGCGTGTCACTTCTGCAAGCAGACCGACCGTTGGAAGATGAACTGTCCTCAATACCTGGAATCCAAGAAAGGTAAGTTCGAATCTTGTGTCATAGAAACCAATTTATTGGTGGCTTCTGCGTCCTGGTGTATTGACTCCGAGGCTTCAACTCACGCGTGTAACTCACTGCAAGGGTTCAAGGTAAGCAGAAGGTTGAATGAAGGTAAAGTGACTCTCTTCTTGGGGACTTCTGCAAGTGTTGCAGCTACGGCAATAGGAACCGTAGAATTACTTTTTAAAGAAGGATCCATTGTACTTATAGATTGTCTTTTTGTGCAAAATTTACGAAGAAATCTGATTTCTGTCTCAAAACTGTGTGCGGATGGATATTCTGTCTTTTTCAGTAATACGATTACTATTAAAAGAAACAATAAATTCATCGCACACGGGGAACTGGAGAACGGTCTCTATGTTATACATCCTTCTCTAGAAACTAA